AATTCAGATAAGAGAGCTTATCAGTTATACTTCCGTTTCTACTCAAAAGCTCATGGCCGCTCACTCAAAGCCTCTTGATCTGATCTTCCAACACCGCTTACAGTGCCCCAGACTGACGGCAGCACGCCTGGCATTTGGATGGAACATTTCTTCCCTGAGGAGAGAAGTGACAGTTTGAGACAGGGCAGGGTTGGGATGGAGAGCGCTGCTCACCCTGAGAAGTACCTGAGTTTGCGGGGATTCTGACTGAGCACCCCGAGTCCGTGGTCTGCTGCTGAAAATACTTACGGTTGCTTTTGTTTCTGGAACTTTGAGAGAAAAAGAAATTTGTGGCGGCCTGGGGGGTCTGGTTTTGAAATGCAAACACGGGGGTTCTGAGTCAGACTTTGGCAGGGTGGCATTTTGTCTTTAAAGAGCAGCAATGTGGTTCCTCGATTTGTCTCTGCTGTCTTGACATTTAGTTGGATTCCTGGGCAATTGGTTGGCCCGGGCACATCTCCACGGAGCACGGGGCCTGGCCTTGGCACTGCCTCGCAAGTCTGTGTGCTTGGGGAGGGACTGTGGCTGGGAGGCCAAGCCGATTTTCAAGGCAGAACTGTGAGTAAAAACACCCAGTGACACATAACTTTTAGAAATTAAAATGCCTATTCTTGGGGGAAAAAGGCACACAGAAGTGTCATTGAAAGTTTACTTCTAATCTCTTACAGTAGAAGCTACAAAGCTGAGTTTACTTTCTAGAAAATTCTAGTTTATTTTCTAGAAAGTTGCATTTTATTACTGCAAAGGGATTTTATTTCCAGTGAGTATGCTTTTTTTGAGCAGGAGTTTTGGAGTCCCAGAGACAGAGGTTGAGAAGGTGATGGTGTGCAATGGCAATTCTCAAGTTCAAGGAGGGGGAAAAAGTCATGCTTTGATGGGGAGACTTCTTTTTGACTGTCCATAAACTGGCATTTAAGTAGAAGTCAGCAGTTTCTCTGCACCAAGTTAAAGAATGTGGGGCTGGGTAAAGGGAGGCTTACGCTTTATATTCATCACTAACCAAAGAAAGGCAGGGAGAATTGTGATCCATCAGGTTTCTATGGCTAAGATAGCCGAGCTGTATTATTAGGACCACGACAGTCCCAGCTGGTATAGATGGCTGACCTGTAGTATGTTTGTGTGTATTGAGGGCAGGCGGTGGGGTGTGGAGTATGTCACAGAGTTTTCTAAAATAATTAGAATAGCTATTATTGCCTAAATCTGAAGTGTGCAACTAGAAGAGTCCTGCTGGGGAAGCAAATCGTGGCAAACATTGGGTCTGTTGTGGAAATGTTCTAAAACCAGACTGTTAACACAGGGAGCCATTTTAAACATAACTCACTACGTGTTTGGAGAGAAACACATACCCTCGTATTAGGAACCTGAAACTCTCTGAGCTGCAGCATCACAGCCGGTGAGTCTGATTGCCGGGATTAATCAATCACAGCAGCGCAAGTCCCAGTCTTGGTGGGATTCTGGATTCAGCTGTTTTCTCCTTGCCCCATTGCATTCTAGATTGATGGTCTGCATTATGTCTGGAGCCAGCCGTCAGCTCGCTCTTCTCCTCTGCAGCTGTTGCGTGGCTGCCCTGGGGGCCCAGGCCGAGGAGCGCTGCCCGGCTGAGCGTCACCAGGCTGCCCAGTACGTGGCTGCCGTGTACGAGCACCGGTCCATCCTGAGCCCGAACCCGCTGGCCCTCACCAGCCGCAAGCAGGCCTTGGAGCTCATGAACCAGAACCTCGACATCTATGAACAGCAAGTGACGATCGCAGCCCAAAAGGCAAGAAGTGCTCCCGGGTCAGCTTGTTTGCAGAGCAGGGCAGATTAGCCCTTGGTGTTGCGTTTCCCTCTGGGAAATCAGCCCGGCCAGTAAAGATGAGCTGAATGGGTCCGTTGGCTGGAGTCCTGCTACTGAGTGGGTGGTCTGCGTCAGCAGACCCTCCAGGGCTGGGAGGAGTGCAGAATTTGGGGCCTGCCCTAGACTTGCTGAGTCAGAAGGTACATTTTAGCAAGATTCCCCAGGTGATGTTTCCCCTCCGGCCTGGGAAGCCCAGGGCCAGGCACGTGGCAGTGCCAGAAGAATCGCTCGGGTGCTTGTAAACAAATGTGTGTGCCCGGCTCCCACGCCTGCAGAGTCAGCTGGGGAGCACGTCGGGGCACTGGGATTTTTTGAGGTTCCCCGGTGGATTCAGATGTGCAGAAACATCTGAAAGCCAGCAGGCACGACGGCCTCTCATGCTCTCAGAGGCTTTCAAGGATAACTAAAGTAATAAGCGGCCCCAGAGCTGTGTTTGCTGCCTCCCGATGACGTGGGGCTCCTTTCTGGTCCCCGCGCCAGACCCCGAAGCCTGAGAGCTCAGTCCAGACAGAACCCAGCCCAGCAGACAAAGGACGCCGGTGCCGCCTTTGTGAAGGCTTCCTGCGCGGCCCCTTTTCCGCTCCTGCCGGGAAGGGTGGGGCAGACGGGGAGGTGTGGGAGCCAGAAGTCTCTGTAGGAAAATGGCCTGCTGGGAGGGCAGTCTGGCCTTGAGCCCCGGCAGGGGTGGGGGGGGACCTGCCCGGCTGCTTGAGGAAGCCCCGCTCCGCCCTGCCCGGGCAGCAGGCGGGCTCCCTGCGAGCAGAACGGCCGTGTCTGTGAGTTAAGCGGGCAGACCTGTGGTGCCTGCAGGTCCTGCCCAAACAGCCCCTGTCTCTGTTCAGGGTGGTCAGCACTGCCTGGACAACCACTGGCCGTCGCTACCTTTTAAAATGTAGCCTGTAGTACCTATATATGTAACACACAAATGCTAGAAGGGCGCTTAAAGGCCCGGTCCAGCTGTTCTGATAGGTGACACTGCTCTTTTTTTCCCAGCCCGACGTCCAGCTTCCCCTGGACGCCTCCAGTGGCCCAGGACTCACTGTCCACTTGAGGACAGTGGGAACTTCTGGAAAGGGCTTCCTTTCCATGAACAACAGTCAGCCTCCCTGTAACTGCCACCCATCGTCCTGTCCTCCTAGCCAAACAGAACAGACTGAATCCCATCCCACACACGCCATCTTTCCCAGATCTGAGGACGGCCCCAGCATCTCTCCCAGGCTGTCTCTCCAGTCCTATCCACAGTTCCCCAAGGGTTGCGGTTCCAGCCCTGTCCCCCAAGACTTTCCGGGTTACGTCTGTGCCCTGAGCTGCACGTGGTTTTGTCGAGGGCAGGGCGGAGGAAACCTGCCACCGTTCTCATTCTACATGTTGTCCCCAGAAGGAAAGCTTTTGGCAGCCACACCTTGCTTTGGGTTCATCAGGCGCTCGCTGTCAGCCAAAGCCCCTGAGTCCTTTTCACACAGACACACACGCTGCCATGGCTGTCCTGTACTTGTAAGGTTAATTTATTTAACCCGAGAGCAAAGCCTCCCATTTGTGCCATTAAATTTCATCCTGGTGGGCTATTTGGGGATCTTCACTGACAGACATCCTGCATATCAGTTACCTTCACGTCATTCACACTTCTGGGACATACCTCATTTGTGTCTGCACCGAAGCCGGTGTAAAAACATACCAGCCCGTGCCGGCAGGCCTCCTCCTGACACAGGTCCGTTCTTTGCACGGAGGTGTTGGCTTGCAGGCAGCTGAAATGTCACCCCCTTCTTCTCCATCCTGTCCACAAGACCACGCTAAGACACTTGGCAGATGCCGTACTGAAACCCAGAGACTGTGCCTGCAGGTTTCCCCTGCATTTTAATCACCTGCCCCCAAATGAAACATATGTTTTTCTTGAACCCATGCTGCCAGCAGGCATCATTCCTTCTCTGTTTGTGGTCCAGGAGCAGGTACAAAGCTGCTGATCCAGTCATTTTTTAGGGCTTACAGACATCTCGGCTCCCCTACTTGGTTATATGTGTTAAAGTAACCTCTAACACAGGTTGATGCCATGCATGTGTCAAAGTTTTATATCAAACTTGCTATAAGGGCAGAGGTTCCTGCAGGCCAATTAAATGAGTTCTCGCTTGAGTTCTTTCATTTACAGGGAAGAAAAGGAGTTGCGCTTAAAGATATTAGGCTGGGTGGTCAGCTGGGTTGGCACCCGGAATTCCCCAGGAGTTCTTGAGCTCACTGGTCTGTCAGAAAATTGCTCAAGTCCTTTATCAGGAATGCAAATTCCTTCCTAGAATGGATGAGTAATCACATCAGACCCAAAGTTCTGTCCCGGCTCAAGTCTGAGTCCTCATTCTGGGCAGATGTATATTGAGGAAACGCAATTTAATTTGAATATTAATCTAATATGTATCCATAGCTGTTAATGTCCATAGGAAACCATTCTGTGCTTTCAAAGTTGTGTTTTTAATAAAGGAAAACATGTGTCCAAGTATAATTTTCGGAAAGTTAGAAACATGACTCTTACACATAGAGAAGAATGGACATGTGTCAAAGCTCTTATTTAACTCATTAATTAACTCAGGAACCAGCAAGATGGTAAAGCTGGTTCAAAAGATAACTTGAGGAACAGACGTGAGTGTATCCATCAGTCAAATGAATGTTGAGATGAATCTGCTAATAGATACAAAACAGGCTAATGTCGTACAGGGCAATAAAACTGTCATGTTTAGGGTGTCTTATTAAATAGCAAAGTCAAACAGTGATACATTCACTAGATGGATAATCCTCGAGTGCGCTTGTCAGTACCCTGGTATATTGTAGAAAGATATACGTATACAAAGAATGTATACATAAATTCTTCGTCTTGCTTTATTTCCAAGTTTGTGATCATTTTTCTTTCTAATGTGCAATAAGATGACCAGCCTCGTATTCTGCTGGAGGGAGTGTACATTGCTGTAAGCTTTCTGGAAAGCTACTTGGCAACGTATATTAAGAATTTAAAATTTTTCATACACTTGACTCAGTATTTTCACTTATAAGCCTTTATTCTAAAGAAATAATCAGAGCTCCAATCAAAGATTTGTGTACAACGCTCATTCAGGAAGTGTTTTGAGCACCCTGTACACAGATGGTCACCACAGTTTTTTTTATTACAAAAAGTTGGGAACAATTCAAATGCCCAATAACAGAGGATAAACTGCGGTGTCCTCTTAAATATAATCCAGCATATAATACAAGCGATATTTCTGAAGGTATCTTTGTAGTCTTGATGCTCTGTAGTGAGAGAGTCAAGGTGGAAAACCGTATGTTTATTATTGTCTCAATTATACACGCACACACCTATACAGAGAGGGGGAAAAATGAAAAGAGGCAAGATGTTAACAATAAGTATCTTCATGATATAGGATTATGAATTCTTCCTTTATGTTGTGTTTTCCAAATTTTCTACACTTAAACTTTTGAAAAATTTTTTATAACCCGGAAAAAAATTATAAGGAGTTTGCAGTGCATTCCAGAAATAGTGACTCAAATTGCCTGTGACTTTAGATTATTCATGCCTGCTCCACCATCCTCCTCCACCTTTCACTGTGGGGTGATGCTGCTCCAGGCTTAACATTTTCAGCCGAGCAAGTGCAGAGCGGCAGCCGAAGGGGCCCTGGCGCTGGGAGCTGAGGGCTGCCCTGTTTGGGTTTCCTCAGGTCGCTGCCACTGTCACAGGGAGCCTCGGGCTGTCACAGGCAAGGACCCCCAGCGTCTCCAGGTGTGGGAGAAGGCCTGTAGGGCGGTCAGGGCTCTGACGGGAGTCTCCTAACTCCCAGTGGGAGAAATGCAAGTTAGAGCAAGTCCTGGTCCCTATGCTAAAATCAATGCACTTGACTTTCACCCACCAGCCCACTGGGGCCCATTAGAATCATGTGGGGACCTGTTGCCGGGACCGCACCCACAGTTGATTGAAGCAGACTTTTTAGGGTGGGCCCAAGCATCACTGCTGAGCAAAGCTTTTGTTTTCAGAAGTCCCCTGTCTGATTTAGAAGCACAATGAAGGTTGAAAACCCCCCACCGGACTAGAGGTAGCACATCTGCTAAGCCTGATACTCAGGCCTGTTATAGTCGCCGCTCCATCTCCCATGGCACCACCACCAACTCCAAACCCATCCAAACTCACTTGTAACCTTCTTCCCTGGCCAGCCCTCGGTACAGTGCTGGTCCCTAGAAGACTTGGTCTTTCTTCCCTCAGAGTTAGGCCAAGTGAGACGGCTCCCCCAAGGCTCAGATCCCTGCCGAGCCCAGCTACCACGTCTGGACCTCTGTGGTTCCTGGTTCAGAGCAGCTGCAGGACGGCTGTCAGAGGAATGAAGGGGTGCTTCCCATTATCTGTTAACGGACTATTTCTATGTTTTGACTTGCAGGGTGTACAGATTATAGTGTTTCCAGAAGATGGCATCCATGGATTCAACTTCACAAGAACATCCATTTACCCGTTTTTGGACTTTCTGCCTCCTCCCTACTTGGTCAGGTGGAACCCATGCCTGGAGCCCCACCGATTCCATGACACGGAAGTATGTAAGGGGACCAGCCTTCCTCCTCAGGAGGTGGGAGGCTCACGGAGATGAACCAAGCCAAGGGCCAAGAGCCAGGACGTGTTGAATGAGAGTGACAGGAGCCCTTAGGGGCCTGAGAACCAAACCCGAGCTCCCTGTGCCAGTCATTCACTTAAAAATGTCTGCTATTATGAGGCATTTACTCATCTGCGGATCGTTCTCTATTTGTTGATCACACAAGAAATGCATGAATATACGCTTCTACAACAAATCAAAGTTAATAAAATGAAAGCCCACCTTCCACACCCCATCCCTCAGCCACCTCCCTTTCTAGACAAACTGCCGTCAGTGCATCCACCTATATTCTTTTCTATGCATCTCATAGATACTGACATCTTTATTTTTTAATTTTATTATTTTTACTGAAGTACAGTTGATTTACAATGTTGTGTTAATTTCTGCTGTACAGCAAAGTGATTCAGTTATACTTACATATATTCACTATTTTTTATATTCTTTTCCATTATGGTTTATCACAGGATATTGAATATGGTTCCCTGTGCTGTACTGTAGGACCTTGTTTATCTATTTTATATATAGTAGTTGGCAGCTGCTAATCCCAAACTCTCAATTCATCCCTCCCCAGCCCCACTTTGCAACCAGAAGTCTGTTCTTTATATCTGTGAGTCTCTTTCTGTTTCATAGATAAGTTCATTTGTGTATATTCCCCATATAAATGATATCAAAGGTATTTGTCTTTCTCTTTCTGACTTAACGTCACTTAGTATGATAATCTCTAAGTCCATCCATGTTGCTGCAAATGGTATTATTTCATTCTTTTTATGGTTGAGTAGCATTCCATTGTGTGTATGTATATATGTATATGTGTATATATCTATACACACATACCACATTTTCTTTATCCATTCATCTGTCGATGGACATTTAGATTGTTTCCATGTCTTGGCTACTGTGAATAGTCTGCTGTGAACACAGGGATGCATGTTTCTTTTTGAATTATAGTTTTGTCTGGTTATATTCCCAGGAATGGGGTTGCTAGATCATGTGGTAGTTCTGTTTTTAGTTTTTTGAGGAACCTCCACACTGTTTTCCACAGTGGATGCACCCATTTACATTCCCACTAACAGTGTAAGAGGGTTCCTTTTCCTCCACACTCTCTCCCGCATTTGTTATTTGTAGACTTTTTAATGATGGCCATTCTGACCGCTGTGAGGTGCTACCTCATTGTAGTCTTGATTTGCATTTCTCTAATAACTAGAAATGTTGAGCATCTTTTGATGTGCCTGTTGGCCATCTGTATGTCTTCTTTGGAGAAATGTCTGTTTAGGTCTTCTGCCCATTTTTCGATTGGGTTTTTTTTTGTTGTTGAGTTGTGTGAACTGTTTGTATATGTTGGAAATTGAGCCCTTTCAGTCGCATCATTTGCAAATATTTTATCCTCATCTGTAGGTTGTCTTCTCGTTTTGTTTATGGTTTCCTTTGCTGTAGAAAAGCTTATAAAGTTTGAATAGGTCCCATTTGTTTATTTTTGCTTTTATTTCTGTTGCCTTGAGAGATTGACCTAAGAAAACAGTGGTACAATTTCTATCAGAGAATGTTTTGCCTATGTTCTCTTTTAGGAGTTTTATGGTGTCATGTCTTATATTTAAGTCCTTAAGCCATTTTGAGTTTATTTTTGTGTATGGTGTGAGGATGTGTTCGAACTTCATTGATTTACATGTGGCTGTCCAGCTTTCCTAACACCACTTGCTGAAGAGACTGTCTTTTCTCCATTGTATATTCTTGCCTCCATTGTTGAAGATTAACTCACTGTAGATGTGTGGGTTTATTACTGGGCTCCCTGTTCTGTCCCATTGATCCATATGTTTGTTTTTGTGCCAAGACCACACTGTTTTGATTACTGTGGCTTTGTAGTATTGTCTGAAGTCTGGGAGGGTTATGCCTCCAGCTTTGTTCTTTTTCCTCAGGATTGCTTTGGCAATTCTGGGTCTTTTATGGTTCTATATAAATTTTAGGCTTATCTGTTCTAGTTCTGTGAAAAAATGTCATGGGTAATTTGATAGGGATTGCATTAAATCTGTAGATTGCTTTGGGTGGTATGGCCATTTTAACAATATTAATTCTTCCAATCCAAGAGCATGGGATATCTTTCCATTTCTTTATTTTTTTAAATTATTTTTTAAAAATTATTTATTTTTGGCTGTGTTTGGTCTTCGTTGCTGCACATGGGCTTTCTCTAGTTATGGCGAGCGGGGGCTACTCTTCGTTGTGCACGGGCTTCTCATTGTAGTGGCTTCTCTTGTTGCAGAGCAAGGGCTCTAGGCGTGCAGGCTTCAGTAGTTGCAGCTCATGGGCTCAGTAGCTGTGGCTTGCAGGCTCTAGAGCGCAGGCTCAGTAGTTATGACTCACGGGCTTAGTTGCTCCGCAGCGTGTGGGATCTTCCCAGACCAGGGCTCGAACCCATGTCCCCTGCATTGGCAGGTGGATTCTTAACCACTGTGCCACCTGGGAAGTCCCTCCATTTCTTTAAATCATCTTCAATTTCCTTTATTAATATTTTATAGTTCTCAGCATATAAGTCTTTCACCTCCTTGGTCAGGTTTATTCCTAAGTTTTTTTTTTTTTTTTGATGCACTTTTTAAAGGGATTGTTTTTTTTTTACATTCCCTTTCTGATAATTTTTTTTTAGTGTACAGAAATGCAACTGATTTCTGTATGTTAATCTTGTATACTGCTACCTGGCTGAATTCATTTATCAGTTCTAGTAGTTTTTGTGTGGAGTCTTTAGTGTTACTATAGACTATATATATATATAGTATGTCATCTGCACATAATGACAGTTTTACCTCTTACCTTCCAATTCGGATACTTTTTATTTCTTTTTCCTGTCTGATTGCTGTGGCTAGGACTTCCAGTACTATGTTGACTACAGGTGGTGAGAGTGGGCATCCCTGTCTTGTTCCAGATTTTAGCGGGAAGGCTTTCAGCTTTTCACCTTTGAGTATTATATTGGCTGTGGGTTTGTCATAAAAAGCTTTTATTATGTTGAGATATATTCCCTCTATACCAACTTTAGTGAGAGTTTTTTTCATGAATGGATGTTGAATGTTATCAAATGCTTTATCTGCATCTATTGAGATGACCATGTGTTTTGTTGATGTGATGTATCACATTGATTTGTGTATACTGAACCATCCTTGTGACCCTGGGATGAAGCCAACTTGGTTGTGGTGCATGATCTTTTTTATGTGTTGTTGGATTCAGTTTGCTAATAATTTGTTGAGAATTTTTGCATCTATATTCCTCAAAGATAATGGCCGTAATTTTCTTACTTGGTAGTGGCTTCGTCTGGTTTTGGTATCAGGGTGATGGCGGCTTCATAGAATGTCTTTGTGAGTGGCCCCTCCTCTTCAATCTTTTGGAAGAGTTTGAGAAGGATCAGTAATAGGTTATTTTTTGTATGTTTGGCAGAATTCCCCAGTGAAGCCATCTGGTCCTGGACTTTTGTTTGTAGGAAGTTTTCTTTTCTTTTTTTTTTATTACACATTCTATTTCACTTGTTGTGATCAGTCTGTTCAAATTATCTATTTCTTCTTGATTCAGTTTTGGTGGCCTGTATGATTCTAGAAACTTGTCCATTTCTTCTAAGTTGTCCAATTTGTTGGCGTATAATTGTTCATAGTATTCTCTTATGGTTTTCTGTATTTCAGCCGTATTGATTGTTATTTCTCCTTTTTCATTTCATATTTTGTTTATTTGGGTCCCCTCTCTTTTCTT